CACAAGCCCACAGATCCTGTAGCCGGGGCAGAAGGCCCACGCACACGGAAGAGCCATTTGCTCCCGCCCCTCTCTGTGTCGTGGCCGGACGTTTCCGGCCAGCGGACGCGCGCGCRCCCGGAAGTCCCGCCCTCCAGCCACAGCGCGCTGGCGCGCTGTCCGGCGTCCACCTCCGCGGCGGTCGCCACCTGGCCTTTTCAGCACCCTCGAAAAAGTTTCCCCGAAGTTTCCAGTAAAAAGATGGTTGCAGCAGGACCGTGGCTAGAAAGAGCGTGAAGGCAAGCCGATAGAGGCCGTGCAGGCATTTCGTTTTAGCCTTCACCCTACCTTCAGGTCCCCTTCTGCTCCTCCCTGGCCCCTCGATTACTCTCTGGACTGCCCTTTACCCACCCCACCGACCCGTCCCTAGAGGTGTCCTTTGTCCTAAGCGCTCATAGCACTTATCTTGAGTCTTTGCCGACTTCTATTCTTGTTATGACACTTGAAGGTTCCTCCTATTGTGAGGATTCCCCGCCCCCAGTACACCCGCCCCTCGTTCTTTGGGAATATATCCTGTTGCAAAATCCTACCCGCTGACGGCATTCCCACAAAGGACCATCTCTCTCAGCCCCCACTCCCTCCCTTACTGAAAAACCTTCTCTCTCGATCTTTTTTTTTTTTTTTTGTGGGGGGGGGGGTGGTGCTAGGGATTAACCCAGGGCCCTGTGCATGGGAGGCAAGCACTCTACCTACTGAGCTACAGCCTGAAAGCCTTCTCTTACGTGACAACAGTTGACAAAACAATGTTTTAGGAGTAAGGGACCTGACCTAAAACCTTTACACGCACATTATTTAATCAATGATCCTAATGAGAAAATTGAGGCACAGAAAAAGTCAATAATTTGCCCAAGGTATCATAGTTTAGATGTAGTAGAGTTGAAAAGTTGACTCCATTACTACTCCTCTCTCTTTCCCAAATACTGTTGATCTCCCTGCCTGTCTTTTATTTGCTTCTCCTGAAGAATTGTTTCTGGCTTCTGTCTAAGAACCCCCTGCCTACAACTCTCTCTTCACACAGGCCCTCAAGTGTTCCTTTTTATCGGATATCTAAACTCTAAATTTAGTAATATTTTGCATCTCCTCGTGTATGAAGTGTTAAGGATAGGTTAGATCACTAAAATATTGTAAATCTAAGTTCAGACAAAGGAGTGATCATTCTTCACTGATGTGGAAACAGTTGGGAAGCATAGTGGATTGATAGATAAAGATTTAGTTTGAAAATTTTGTTGCACATGTTCTTATTTTGAACGTCTAATAAAGATAGAAATAAAGTTCACATTCATATAACATTTTGTACTCAATTTTAGGAGATTCATGAATCTTCCCCAAAATGTTTTTAAAACCCCCAGTTTAGGGAAATAGAATACTATACCTCAAAAGACAGAACTAAGTAAGCCAGATGTGGAAGACCTTTATCCTGTAGGCAGTGCAAAACCATTGGAGATACAAAAAGGTGGACCCAGCACTAGTATGATGGGTTCATTAAAATAAGAGGCAGTGAGATTAGTTAGGTGGCAGGTGGCATAATTTAGGTAGGATATTGTGCCGCGGAACATAGGGAATGAGGGTAAATTAACAAGAAATAATGGCAAGGGCAAATCAAAAGAACTTGGTATCTGCCTGGGTATGGAACTGAAAGAGAAAGAAATAACAAGGTTTGAGGCACAGTTATGTCCTCCCTCTATTTTTGTCTTCAGGGTTTTTTTTTTTTTTTTTTTTTTGTACTAGGTCATTTCTAAAGAGGGGGCATTACTACTGACCCAGTAGACATTAAAAAGGGCAAGAGAATACTATAACCAGATAAATACCAAAACCAGATAAAGATAAAACAAAAAATAAAAGTATAAATCAAACTTCCGATTGAACAGACTCAAAATTCTCAAAAATATGACCAAATGGATAAAAAAATTAAAAATAATACACTAGGGCTGGGGTTGGGGCTCAGTAATAGAGTACTTGCCTAGCATGTGTGAAGCACTGGATTCGATCCTCAGCGCCACATAATACTAAGTAAATAAAGTAAAAATATTTTTTAAAAAAATACATTTCAACCAAGTGTCACTTATCCCAGGAATTCAGAGCTGAAACAATACTTGAAAATCATTTGGCATAATCCACTATATTAACAGACTGAACCAAAAACTACAAGATTCCAGCAATAGATGCAGAAAGAGCACTTGACAAAATTCAATATATGTTCTAAAACTTTGCAAACTAATTAGGAACCTGATAGACTAGAAAGAAACCTAATAAAAGCCAACCACAACGCCTATAATTAGCATTATATTTAATGGTGAAAAACTGGATACTCTCCACTYCCCAAAATTGGGAGTGGGCAAGGATGTCTATTTTCACCACATCTATTCAATATCTTACTGAAGGTCTTAGCAAAGCAAGAAAAGGGGAGAAAGGGCATTCTGAATGGAAAATTAAAAAAATAAGATTGTCCATGTTTTCAGATAATAATTGTCTACATACGTAAATCTATAAGCATGCTTTTTAAACTAATAAGTGAATTTAGCAGATTGCAGAATATAAGATAAAACAAATGAGTCTATCATATTGTTATTCTAGCAATGAGCAGTTGAACACTGGCCCACTCTCCTCACCCACAAATGAAATACTTAGGTAAAAACCTGCTAATATATACTCAGGACTCATACATTTTAAAATGCAAAACACTAATAAAAAAAAGAATACCCATTCTGTGTTCATAGACTGGAAAATTAAATGTAAGTAAATGTCAGTATTCCCTAAATTGACCTGTGCATTTAAAGCAATGACAAGTAAATTCCCAGCAAGATTTTTGTAGGTATAGATTTGTTGAATATAAAGTTTATAAGTAAAGGGAAAGGAAGTAGATTAACAAAACAATTCTTGAAAAAAAATCAAGGGCCTGAATCATAGTCAGGAATCTATGCATGTTTTAAGCACATAGTGCCATGAACATATTTCTGTATATTAGTTCATATGACTTGATTTTAAAACCATAAAGCTCTTGGGGAAAAAAAAAAACAGGAGAAAGTCTTCATGACTAAGTCAGGCAAAAACCTCCTAGATACAACATTAAAATTACTATCAATAAGGAAAAATATCAATAAATTGAAGTTCATCAAAATTAAAATCTTTTGCTATATAATGGAAAGAAAATGAAAGACAAGTCATACTGGGAAAATACTTGCAAATCACATAATTGACAAAGGACTTATATCCAAAATATATAATTTTCAAAATCTAATAAAATTTAAAATGGGCAAAAGTTTATAGACACCGCACTACAGATGACAAAAATTTAGTAAATAAGAACAGGAAAAGATGTTCAATATTATTAGTCATTAGGGAAATTAAAACTAGCCTTATGTGGGTAGGTTAATCAGCCACTCTGTGTCATTTCAAAAATGGAATGATATGTTGTTTATTGTTTGGGGGTAAATGGAGATTTCCTATACCATCCTTAGAACATTGCCTGGCATATTGCAAATACATATTTAATATTATTAAGGCAAGGTGGCAGTAACTGGCTATTTCATTAAAGGTCCAATACAAAACAAGATATCAAAACTTACCCTTAGTGCCCCAGAATTACCCACTTTTAATCAGATTTCCTTCAACAGTTTTTGGAATTTTTGCCTGGGAGTAATCACTGGGCTGTATGTTAAACAGATCTTCCCACCCATCCTTCATGGTCTCCCTCGATCAATTAGAACCTCTTCTAGGTTCTGCTAGGTGGAGTCACTCCCAGGGTAATGTCCCAAGTATCCCAGTATCCCACTCAGTTTCTTATGTCAACACACATTTATTTTCTATTTTCAGACATTTGTTAAATGACATTTCCTGCTTGAATCCTTTTATTTTTCCTATTTTGCATTTCTTAATTTTTATTCCTCAATTATTGTTTTAGTATGAAGTTTAGGAAGGAAATCCAGTGTCTTGGATGAGCAACCCCATTTATTCTTTGTATGTTTTGAAGGGGGAGATTTATTTAATACTTTAAATTTTTTGTCAGCCGGGTGCAGTGGCACATGCAAAAAAAATTTGTCAAATTAATATTTACAGTATTTAATCATAATTAAAACACCCCAAAATGTAGTGCAATACTCCACCAAAATCTCCATGGGCAGTTCCCTTCAATTCTTTTAGTTCTTTCTGATGGTGTACTTGTATATTTTAAGTAATATGTTTATATTTATGGTTCCTAATTCAGATATTATCTACTTCAGACATCTTTTGACTTTAGTTATGAAAGATGAAGATTTAGCACTCCATTATATGGTTTCTTTTGTGATATCATTCAGTTTTGTGGTTTTCAGTACTCTGCTAAATAAACACAAATTTATACTTTCAGGTTCTTTTCTCCATCAAATAATATTTGCTAACATGAGATATATATTTACTTGAAGAGTTTGTTAGCATCTACTAAATTTCTATTTAGTAGATGCTAAGATGTTTTCTTAGAATATATTCCAAACCTATTCCTCTTTATTGTTTTCATAGATCTGTTAATGGTCATATTTTCTATCCGAAGTGCTCATGCCAAAAAATTAGAAGTCACCCTTTTTCTCCTTTCCCTCAATTTTTATATACAATCCCTGATTACTCTGATGCTTACATTTATCCTCTTCTTTCAATTTCTGTCACTGCTACTCTAGTCTAGTGGCTCCTGATGGGATTGTTGTTCTTAACAGTGGTTGCCCTCTGAGGGAAAATAATAAATGTCTGGAGCCATTTGAGGTTGTCAAATTTAAAGGGTGCTCCTGACATGTAGTGAATAGAGGGATCTTTACCCACATGTGGCTATATGCTAAAAGCCCTTCAAAATATAGAATAAATGGTTTATTTGAGAATAAAGCTCAAAAATATTAATATTGCTGAGGTTGATTCCACTTATATGTTCTTTCTCAAGAAACATCATTTTGCTTCTAAAATTCTCTAATACCTTGTCAATATCTTAATTTTGTAGACATGGCAGACAGATTTCACAGACATGGAGCATAAGTTCACACAAAGAAGTCCTGAAGATGCTGGGGMTGGACAGTGTGAAAGTAGGAGTTTGTACTTGCTTTAAAAATCTTTTGAGTGATTTTGAATACTTTTTATAAATACTTTTTATAAATTATTTGTTTTTCATTTGTTCTTTATATTTTAAAAAATAATTACATTCCATTTTATCTCCCTAAGGTAAAAACAAACAAAAGAAAGAAAAAAAGCAAAACCCAAAACACCATGAATCTCAGTATAAATCAGTGAAATATGATTCTTCAGATAATGAATTGTTTCCTCGTGCATCATCTTCCTCAGGATGCCAGACAGATTCAAGCAATGAAGGTTGTTTACCACCCTGTTAAGGTTTTTGCATATATAACTTAAGTCATTTTAAAAAATTAATTAAACCTCCTTCATAATTTGTTTATTTGACTAATATTTATTGAGCCTACCTAATATGTGCCAGTCATAATGGTAAATATGGCAGGAAGTAATGATGCCATAATAATGGTAAATATTTCTTCAGTCAAGGAACTTGTTTTATATTGGGCAATACAAATAAACTAATAGTCTATTACTGTGTAGATGAGTGCACATGCTAATCACCATTGACATTAGGGATTTTTATTCTCTCTCAAGTAATATGCTTATACTTTTATTCCTTGATTTATTAGTAGTCTAATCAGAATTTTTTCTTACTAGCAAAAGGAACTAACTGGCTGATTTAAGTGGAAAAGGAATTACATTGAGTAACTTACATAATTGCCAAGAAGCATAGAGAATAATTCATCTCTGAATGTGGATAGGAATAAGGTGAAATTTGATAGCCAGACTATAGCCAATTTTAGTTCACAGAGCCTGATGAGGGCACAGTGCCATCACTGCCACTGTTGAACCTGCAAGCCTTATCTTGCAATGTCAGTGTTACTTGATGTCACCAGTACCATCACTGCCACTGCTGCCACAAGACACTGTGTATTTCTGCCACCATGACTAGAATGGATTCTTCATTATTTCTGTCTCATTATGTCATTAACTTCTAGGCAGCGATAGGCTGATCCTAGGTCATATGCCTATGTCCTAAGTGCAAAGGAAGCTAGGAAAACAAGCACTGGCATTTTCAGCATTGGCAGCAGAAACATAGGAAGCAGAATCAGACACTGGGCAATCAAAATTACAACATATATTATGCATATTCATACTAACTCTAGATTATGTCAATTGACTATCTTGAAATTATTCTTTTGTTTTACCTATCCTTATTCTCTCAGTGTTTGCTAGTGGTGTTTTGATTAGTGTTTCTATGAATTAATAAATATTATCCTTATAGCTCTTTATATACTCTCTTTTATATAGGTTAAGTAATTGGTGTTTAAATTACTATCACTATATAAATATTGTTATATATGCAAAATCATATATCTAATATGATTATTGAGATTCTCAAAGGAAAAATATCTCTACAGTGTTTCTAGTCAGCATTAAGAACATCATTTACATTTTTTAAGTTCCTTAAAATTATGCCATATGTCAGTTTTGCTTCATATTAGAACCATGACTTTCCTGTACAGTTTTTTCCTTGAATTTTCTAATTCTCCTACTTGTTTTTTTTTTKTTGTTGTTGTTGTTGTTGTTGTTGAGGATAAGATAATGTAACTTTGCCATAAGAAAAAGATTTTCTGTCTTTTTCAATACTGCTTTTCCAAAGAGTTCATTTCTTATGAACTAGAAATAGTCATGCCTGACAAAAATCAACTCAAAATGGATCAAAGAGCTATGAATTAGAACAGAAGAAACTCCTAGAAGAAAATGTAGGGTTAACACTCCAGCATATAAGCACAAGCAACAACTTCTTAATAAGACTCCTAAAGCTCAGGAAATAATGCCAAGGGTTAATAAACGGGATGGCATCAAATTAAATAGTTTCTGCTCACCAAACAAAAAAATCTCACACCAGTCAGAATGGCAGTCATCAAGAAAACTAAACTACAAAATACTAAAGAAAGAAATTGAAGAAAACTTTAAAGATGTAAAGATCTCATATGTTCTTGGATAGGCAGAATTAAAATAGTCAAAATGGCCATACTCCCCAAAGCTTTATACAGATTTAATGCAATTCCTATTAAAATCCCAATGACATTCTTCATATAAATAGAAAAGGCAGTCATGAAATTCATTTGGAAAAATAAGAGGCTCAGAATAGCCAAAGAAATCCTCAGCAAGAAAAGTGAAGCAGAAGGCATCACAATACTAGACCTTAAATTATACTACAGAGCTATAGTAACAAAAATGGCATGGTATTTGCACGAAAATAGACATGAAAATCAATGGAACAGAATAGAAGTCACAGAGACAAAACCACATATATACAGTCTTCTCATATTAGACAAAGGCACCATAAACATACACTGAAGAAAAGATAGACTCTTCAACAAATGGTGCTGGGAAAACTGGAAATCCATATGTAGCAAAATGAAATTGAATCCCTATCTCTTACCCTGCATAAAACTCAACTCAAAGTGGACAAGGACCTAGGCATTGGACCATAGACCCTGAGCCTACTAGAAGAAAATGTAGGCCCAACCATCATTATGTTGGTTTACATATTGACTTCCTCAATAAGACTCCTAAAGGGCAAGAAGTAAAATCAAGGATCAATACATGGTGGTGCTGGGGTTATACCTCACTGGTAGAGTGCTTGCTTAGCATGTGTGAGGCACTGGGTTCGATTCCCAGCACCACATAAAAATAAATAAAATAAAGGTATTGTGTTCATCTATAAACTTAAAAAATCTTTAAAAAACAGAATCAATACATGTTATGATATCAAACTGAAAAGTTTCTTCACTGCAAAGAAAACAATCAAGAACATGAACAGACAGCCTAAAGAATTGGAGAAAATCTTTGCCACTTTCACCTCAGATACAGCATTAATCTCCAGGATATAAAAAGAACTCAAAAAAACTTAACACCAATAAATAAATAAATAACCCTATCAATAAGTGGGAAAGAGAACTGAACAGGCACTTCACAGAAGAATAAATATGAATGGCCAACAAATAGTGGGAAAAAATGTTCAACATCTGTAGTAAATACAGAAATGCAAATTAAAACTACACTGCTAGCCAGAATAGCAATTATCAAGAATACAAGAGACAATAAGTGTTGGTGAAGCTTTGGGGGAAAAGGTTCTCTCATACAGGCTGGTGGAACTGCAAACTGGTGCAACTACTATGGAAAGCAGTATGAAGATTCCTTGGAAAACTTGAAATGGGACCACTATTTGACCTAGTTATCCCATTCCTCAATATATATACCCAAAGAACTTAAAATCAGCATACAGTGATGCAGCTACATCAAGTATACAGCAGCTGAATTCACAGTAGCTGAGCTATGGAACCAACCAAGGTGCCCTTCAACAGATGAATGGATAAAGAAAATGTGGTATATATACACAATGGAATATTACTCATCCATAAAGGAGAATGAAATTATGGCATTTTCTGGTAAATGGATGGAACTGGAGATTATCATGCTAAATGAAATAAGCTAGTCCCAAGAACCTAAAGGCTGAATTTTCTCTCTACTATGTGGATGCTAGCATACAATGGAGGGTGGGATAAGAGGGAAGAATAGAAGTTTATTGGATTAGACAGAGGAATGAAAGAAAGAGGGATGGGTATAGAAAAGACAGTAGAGTGAATCAGACATAACTTTATCCTATGTTCATATATGAATACACCAGTGAAAGCCACACTTTGTACAACTACAAGAATGGAATCCCAATTAGAATAAGATCCCAATTATATTCCATGTATGTATAATACGTCAAAATACATTCTACTGTCATGTATATCTAAAAATAACAAAAATAAAAATAAATTTTAATAAAGTAAAAAAAATACAAATAATAATAAATGCTGAAGAGGATGTGGAGAAAATGAGCACTTTTACACTTTTGGTGGTATGTTAAATAAGTACAACCACTAAGGAATAAGGAAATCAATGTGGAGATTCCATAAAAGACTAGGAATGGAAATACCATGTGACTAAACTATACCACTCTTCAGTATTTAGGTATATTATAGTGATATCTTCATACCCATGTTTATAGCAGCATAATTTACAATAGTCATTCAGTATATGAATGGATAAAGAAATTGTGGTATAAATACACCATATGGCTTTATTTAACCATAAAGAATAATGAAATTATGTCATTTGCAGGAAAATGAGTGAAACCATTAAGTTATGAAATAAGTCAAACTCAGAAGATCAAAGGTTGTATGTTTTCTAGAGAAAATATGCAGAAGCTAGAGAAGAAAAAGGAAAGAAATATTGGGGTCAGATCTTATGAAAATCAAAAGGAGATCAGTAGGGGAGAGGGACTATGGGGTGGAAGGCTGGTAGGAAGTGGGGGAAGTGCTGGGGAGTTATATGACCAAATTATATTGTTATATTGTATATTGTATTGAATATATCACAACAAATCCCATCACTATATACAAATATAATGCACTGTTTTAAAGTGTGGAAAAAATATTCTTGCCTAATAATATAATCTGGAGCACTTTCTACCATCAAAATCTTCTACGTAGCTGACTCTGGGATTTCTCCTCACTGGAATTCCAGGTTGGGGCCACTGTTTTCTTAGATCCATGACTTCTTCTCTCTTAGTTTCCTGTCTTGACCATTAGAGTATATTGCCAAATAAATTTTTTTTTTCCAAACCATCAACTTGAGAGAGGAGATTCAAGACAGCAGATTAGAAGGTGGCTTAAATTACTCTATGCCTCCAGATTTAAGCAGCAGGAGAACTGCTTTTCAGTGAGGTGGGTAAAAGAGTGATTTCACTGAAATTCAATATCACAGTATCTTAGAGACTAAGAAATTTGGGTGCATCAAATGAAGAATAAAAAAGAATATTTGGAGCCAAGGCAGCTGCAGCAATGGCAGTGACACTGGTTCACCACAGATAGTAGGGATGACACAGAGAAAGAAACACAACAACAGATGGCACAGGAAAGCAAGTTGATCAGAAAAGCAAGCTAAATTTAGCTGACCCAGAGGCTGAAGAGAAAACTGGTGTTTGAAAAATGCTCTGTATTTCCCAACTGGCAAGCAGAGAGTTGAGGAAGGAGTCCTCTCGAAGAGGTCATGCTGGATTTTGCTGCTGCAGAATCCCAGGAAATTATAGCAAACATTTCGATACAGCTCTGTCAAGAACTTGAATTGTGGCCTAGTGTGTATCTAGCAGAGCATGACTGAAACAGGCATAATGTGGATAGTATCCAGAAAAATGAAAAAATGGAGTACAATTCACTTTACCTTTGAGTCTCGTG